CGGGGGCAAAGTTTCCTACTCGGCGGTGTGGAAATTTTTCGTCAAGCCGCCCGAGGAAGTAAACGTAGCCGTATGTCGACTATGTGGCCAGAAAGTCAAGCGTGGCCAGGGGGCCAATGTTGGGACTACAGCGTTGCGTCAGCATATGCAGCGTCGCCATTCGGTGGCCTGGGAAAACCGTGATAAAGATACGGCGGTTCTGCCTGCCCCAGCCCCGCTCCATCACCCGCTCCGTTACTTGCTCCGTCACCCGACGTCAATCGCCCTCTATCAGCCAGTCAAGGCTCCAACACCTCTGCTGAGGGGAGTTGTCGCTCATTGGCATCTTCCGCTCGTTCAGATGCTCCTTCTCCTGCTACTCCTCTTCACGGATTCCGTCAGCAGTCTTTCTTGGAATCCGTTTCCAAGAGACAACAGTTTGCGAGCACGCACCCGACGGTGCAGAAGCTGAACGTCCTCCTGTCCAAGTTGCTGGTGCTGCAGTCCCTCCCTTTCCAAGTGGTGGACTCAGCACCTTTCCGAGAAATGATGGCTTGTGCCGAGCCGCGGTAGAGAGTGCCAAGCCGGCATTTCTTCGCCAAAAAGGCAGTGCCAGCCCTGCATTCACATGTAGAAGAGATGGTGGGCCAGTCTTTGAGCATGTCGGTCTCTGCCAAAGTGCATGGCAGCGCCGACGTGTGGAGCTGTAACTACGGTCAGGGACAGTACATGTCATTTACGGCCCACTGGGTGAACGTGGTGCCGGCACAGCCGCACCAGCAACTTGGACAGGTCACGCCGCTTTTGCCTCCACGTTTGCACGTCCTTGGTCCAGCAAAGATGTCCGCCTCTACCACCTCTTCTTCCGCCGTGTCCTCAGCCGCCACCCCCGTGCCAAGTCCCATTACCCGACCGGCATATCACATGTGCAGGGCGCAACGGTGTCACGCTGTGCTGCACCTGGTATGCCTTGGCGAACGTAGTCACACAGGGGAGGAACTTCTCTGTGTAATGAACAGAGAAATCGACAGATGGCTGTCTCCGCGCAAACTGAAAATCAGAACCATGTTGACCGACAACGGCTCACGTGTTCAATCTGGTTGTCAAGCGGTTCCTAAAATCCACCATCCCACTGCAAGACATCCTTAAAATGTCACGTAAACTTTGCATGCATTTCAGCCATTCCTACACCGCAAAGCACACCCTCCTTGAGCTGCAGTGGCAGAACGGAATTCCACAGCATCGCCTGATCTGCGACGTTGCAACAAGGTGGAATTCAACCCTACATATGTTAGACCGCCTTGACGAACAGCGAAAGGCCATCACCGATTTCCTGATGTTACAAGCGGATAAAGGTACTCCCTGTGTAACTTAGATGTCAGCCATTGGCAGCTCATGCGTGACACCTGCCGCTTGCTCAGGCCCTTTGAGGAGGCCACGCTATTCGTGAGTCGGCAGGACTATGGGATGAACGACGTCATTCCTCTGTTGCACGTCCTGGAACAAATGCTGTTAACAATGGCTGGTCAGGGTGCGGTAGACGTTGCGCACAGATCTCAACGCCACATGACCCCTGTGGGGGCAGGACAGGAAGAAGAGGAGGAGGTAGAGGAGGACATTGGTGCTCAGGAATTATTGAGTGAAATGGGTGGTTTTTCCACTCAGCGGACAGGAGTGGAGGAGCAGGAGCATCTGGTAGAGGAGGAGGAGGAGACAGAGGACCCAGACGCACCGTGGCAGTATGCTGTGGAGATGGAGGCAGGGAGTCCCTCGCATTCCTTGGCACAAATGGCCCACAATGTCTCCTCACACTGCTGGTGGGTTCCATTTTGTCATAGGGTGCTGTATGGCCTCCCATTGCTGCTGCCTCCACCGCCACACTGTGGCTCCACACTCTGGTTTTGGCCCCGTGACTGCCCAAATGAGTGAAGTGTGCGGTGATTCTAAGATCGACGGCACTCATCTGCATGTCATACTGACTGACAGTATTATTTCTCTTCCCCAGCAGACTCCAAGGGCATTTAAATTAAAGGTACAGTGTTCTGCACTAATATAAAGGCTCTCTGAAGCCTAGAAACACCCTTTTTATAAGTTAAATTCGCAGCGAATATATTCGGCTCGAAGCGAATTTATTCTGCGAATTCGGCGAATCAGCCGAACCGAATTTTTGAATAGTTCGCTCATCTCTAATAATAGTGCTATTACAGATTTCTGGAAGTTTGTATCCAGATAGCATGTGATTTTAACAGTAATAATTTTGGAGCCTTATGTGGTTGCATGCTTATTTAATTGTGTTTTGCTTTGTGAAGTTGTCCATGAACTGTACAATCTCTGTACATCACCTTTGGATTAATCAAAACTGTATTATCCAAAGTTAAAACTAAACAATTTAATTTGTATGCAGTCACATCTAAAGGAGATCTAAAGGATACTGTACAATCAGGTTGTATAGTGTATGGCCAAATGTACACATTCAATAAAATAAGTAGATTTAAGTTTAAGCTGTAGAGCTTTGTCAGCTTAAGGCTGGACTCCAGGGAAAAGAACACTTTTCTTGTAGTGGGTCCAGCTTCTCTTCAATGCCCCACCAGCCGCAGCTATCTGACACCATCCTGCAGTCTTGCATTGTACCCGATGTCACTGACGGTTCATCCACAACCCAATGCTTTGGACAGTGGAGTAGAGCCCTGATTGGCAGAGGAGTGAGGAATAATGTTAGTATATTACATCATTCACCTTTCCCTGGGCAAAACAAGCCATGAACCCTTGCAAAAGTAAAGAAGGGCCCAATAGAAGGGTAATCTTTTTTATTCTCCAGATTTCAGTTTTTGGGTTTTTTTAACCACTAGCTAATGAGCAAAATTCCTTATGCTGTTGCTTAGAACAGAAATTCCAAGGATAAGTACCAGTAAAGATGTTGACTTGTTCCCATGGCAGCAACGCATACAGTATGGACTTTTTTAAGCACTTGATCCCCAGGCCAATTCTGACATTTTTCTCACACATGTTATAATCTGCATTTTTTGCTAGAAAAGGCAGAGGCCCTAGAGAATAAAATGGTGGATGTTGCAATTTTTTTTAATGTCACATGGTATTTGCAGTGATCTTTCACATTTTAAACAAAATACACTTTAATGAATGCTAATGCACAAAACACAATATGATACGCAATTGATTGGTAAAATATAAAAGATGATGTTAAGTAAATATATACCAAACATTTCACACTTTAAAATTGCACACATCTGTGAATGGCAACAAACTATGGTACCTTAAATTATCCACGTGATACTTTAAAAGCCTTTACAGGTTACTAGTTTAGAGTTACACAGAGGGTCTGGTGCTAGAATTATTGCTCTTACTATAACATTCCCAACAATACCGCACATGTGTGCATGTTCACACTTGTGGGTGAGCATGTGTGGATGGGGGGTGCTTTAAAAAAAATTATTTTTTTACACTGTAACTTTTTTTTTTAAATCAAGTTTATTGCTATAAACAGGTTTATTGCTATCATAAAGTCCTGTTTACGGAGGGATCTGGGGTCTATTAGACCCAAGTTCTCTGCTCTGGCCTCCAAATGAGAATGGTTTGAGCAGATGCTATACAAGCCCGTAACGGCTTGTCAACATACAAACCAAAACCAGATGTGACAAAATCCTTGTTGCTTCTGGTTTCTGACATCACAGAGGAGGAGTGGGAACTTCCATTCTTGTCACATTTCTCAGTGAATGCGACTGAACCAGTTTCATCATTACCAAGCTTCCTGATGTAACAGGGGAGCCCTCTAAAAAAGGCGGTGGGAGAGGGGGACCCCTTCTCACCACCTGTAAAAGTGATCCAGCAGCTGTATATCTGCCTGAATCAGTTTTACATGACAGAGAATCTCTGGCAGAAATAAACAGTACCAGGATCGTGGTTGTGGTCTCAACCATGATCCTGGTATAACCACCTCAATACAAGGCTGTATATATATGTACTGCGGTACTGAGGTAGTTCCCTTACCACTTAGCTTGGCAAATGTGTATTTCATTGCTTAGCAAGCTGGTCAAATTACTATTTTTTTTGTAATTTGTTTTTAAATAAAACGTGGCAAACACATTCTGCAGTGCACCTTATAGGAACAGAAGGCATAAAAGCAGCATTTTTTGGATGTCCAACCAGCATGGCAAAGACAGCATTGTAAGAATAAATATGCATTGCTCACAGTTCACGGCTCTTTTGTTGACTCAGAACAAGTATGCTGGTAAATATTCCTGACTTTTCAGATTTGCCTACTTATTTCTGGTAATTTACTCAAATAATGAAGAAAAACAATTCAAATTTTCAGAAAGACTTCAACAGTGTTTCTCTACTGAAAGGTTTAATATAAAATGAATTATTATTAACAAAAGAGGGTAGAGTGAAAACTATGGAAAAGCAAATAAGAAATACATACAATCAATGTATGGAATGTATAAAAAACACAATGAAATAACTAGGCTGCAGAAGTCAATAGGTCCATGCTCACCAGCAATGCTGCCTGTAGGGGGGGTGTAAGTTTTGTCCACAACATGTGCTGAGAGTATGATGGCTGGTTTCCTCTCTCTCACTTCTTTGATCCTGGACAGCCCTATAAAAATATGACTGGAAGCTGAAATTTAAATTAAGCAATTAAAAAAAAACCCTTGCACTTCAGGATAATCCCTGCGTGGAAAAAGTACAGGGGATGGAACTCTAAGACAGATCTTGCAGCAACGAGTCAAATAGAGGACTGGAAAAAGTCAATATATGTTACAGTCATAGGAAGCAGCTACAACCTAATACATTGGGTCAGTGTGTCAAAAATCATTCCATGATTTGAAGCATGGACATATGACTTCCTCCCAAATCTAAGTGGCAATCTGACATCTCTATGATCAAATGTGCTAAGTTATAGCTGCTTTCTAAGGGATAGAAGTGTTTTCTTTTATAAATTCCAACATCTGTAGTTTTGTACACTGGTTTGGATCTATATCAACCAGGGGCGGACTGACAACTCATGGGGCCCCCAGGCAATAGAGGATCATGGGGCCCCTGTGTCCTTGCCCAAACTCAAAAAAGCCTATGAAAAAGGTACCAGGGACATCTCATGGGGCCCTCTACTGACCCCGGGCCCTCGGGCAGTGCCTGAGTTTCCAAATGGTCAGTCCGCCTCTGATATCAACTCTTTCACAGATGAATCAGTTGTGTCCATCTAAGCTTAGACTCAGCCTGCGTCAAGCTAATTTTGAAGGAGGGAAAAAAAGTTCTAAAACAAAAGATGTTATGATCTTCATGGGGCTTTGCTCAAGTGCAGTGCTTTTCCATTGAGTTCACTCCAGCCAGAAAATACTGTTTGAGGGCTTATTGGTCAATGTTTATTTAAAGGAGAACATATAAGTCCAAAACAGTTGTTCTCACAGGGATTTCCACCATCACTTAAATTACGTTGAGCTTCCTGGTTTCCTTTCATAGTGCCACTGCTCAGGCTGTAGGCCACTTCTCAGGCTGTAGGCTCTCTCTCTCTCTCTCTTGCAGCTCCCTGCTGCTCTAGCCTATGCTCTGGCCTCTGGGGGCAGGAACCTTTAGTCTCCTGGGTTGTCACTAACATGTTACTAGCTGTCAAACTAAGACTTGTTTGGCTAATAAATATGTGCATAGGCACAAGAATAGAAGAGAGATTGCTCATTTGCCCACATATATAAACACTCGTGTATGCACAACATGCACGCACTGCTGACAAGCGGCCTATCTAAACTTGAGCCCTGCATTAGTCCTGTGCTGTATGTTTTTAAGCCTTACAGTATACTCATGATCCATTTCTGATGTGCATCCATGATCCTGTTACTGAGCTGGCTTTTGCTCTGACCTTGCTCTTGGATTATCCCTACCTGCTCATGTTTGTTTTCTGCCTCTGTTACCGACCCGAACTACTGAGCACATTTCTGCCTGATGATTCTGTACCACGCTGCCTGATTGTTGCTGACCTCTGCCTGTTCCTGACGCTGATTCTGTGTACATCCTGTTGTATGCCATTTGCTGAACGTTGTACTATCACAGTGTACCTCCAGCTGTATCTTTGCCCTTCTGGCACCAATGCTCTCAAGTTCCTGTTTACAGCAGCCAAACCCTGGCACTTGTGCCTTTCTTTCGCCCTTGCAATCTCTGCATCACTATCCAGGGCTGCTCAGACGGGAACTGTGCAAGAGGCCACCATAGTCATTTAAGTCTCCGCATACAGGTACGTGACAAGGGTGGAGACCTGAATTACTGTCAGACCCTTGATTCTAAGAGCTGTTCATCCCTGCATATGCAACCTGGACTCTGGTATGATCTGGACATAGAGTTAGAGGATTTGTCCCTCCCATGACTCTTTGAAGCCTCTGAACTTCAGAACCTAATCTGGGAGTTACAAAACCCACAGAAAACCAAAAATCTAATTTTTTTCAAGGCATACAGAGTTTAATGTAAGAGTTTAACCATTTCCCGTATATAAAAGGCTCCCTGACTCCCTACCTAAGACCTTCCTAGGGACCTTCATGTTACTGGAGATATAGACAGACTCATTTACTGAAGTCCTAGAGACTGTGTTTCTCAAAGGGCTTCCTCCCAACTGAAGGCAGCTTAGTGCTCTCCCAAAGCACAGACAGGTGTGTGACTCACTACCAACACTGTCAATGAGCTGCTCCAGATCTTTATCAGGGATACTGTCAGTTTGATACTCCACATTAATAACTATTTGTTGGATCATGGACAAACTGTCTACTAGAGGCTAACCTTAACTTGGTCCTTCTGTCTTGCAAAATAAATCTTCCACAGCAGCAAGTACACCCTTGACTACAGGCTACTTTGCAGGTCCTCCTTCTGGCACAATAGAACTAGCGCCCATCTCTACTGTACACACAGATGTCTTTTCTGTTCAAGATGACAAGCTTTTTGCCCAACTATCTATTTATAACTTTGCTCCAATCAGAGGTACTATGCAGTAGTGCTCCATCTGCCCAAGGAGTTACAGAAGGACAGAATGGCACAAGCAGCAAACATGTAGCATCCTCTAGTGTGCTACTAGAATAGTATAGTGTATTGCAGGTAAAATCATTGTGTATAACTCATGGTAACTATGTGAGTCTGTGATTGAGGTTGGGTTATTGCAGGCCAGCTGGATGACTTAACAGGTTGTGGCTCTTTCGCCTCTTACTGACTCTGGAGGACCATCGAACCATCCAGAAGTCGGTAAGCACTTAGGGGTGGAGACCTAATCTGCGTGTTTATAGGTGTCCAGCCAAGATTTGGAGGCCCTGGTAGAGTGGTGGACTGGTCGATAAATATGGGAGAGTCAGGCTGACAGAGGAGTCTGGAGTTGGGTGGAAGATAGAGTGCTGAGGAGACTGTCTGTGCCTGGGAAGGGTCCCCTAGGTTTGGGGGGGGCAGCCTCCAGGCTGAACTTGAGCTGGCTCAGGAGGATACATTCAGCAGTGAGGCATGAATGCGATTGAAAACCTGGAGCAGCAGGGAGCAAAGAGGATAGAGTGAGTACAGCAGCACTCTCTGGGTTCTACAAGGGGGAAAGGCTGCCACACGTGGCAAGCTTTCTAAGGACAGCACTGGGCTCAATCCTTCCTCCTTGTCCCAGGAGATCTTCCAAGCAGCCAGGAGGGCTGATGGTGTTTGCAGGCTGTGGAGCTGGGAGCAGCTCTACAGGGGGATTGAAAATATCTCTGCAGTTACGAGAAGCTAAGCTGACTTTTGAGGGGCTATTAGTTCATCATCCATATAAAGGGCTGTTACTACTGATCCGTAACAACTGATGACTTTCAAGAAAAGAACAGTCCAGGATCTGCCTTTGTACATAGGAAGGAAGTTGTCTCCCTTTCACTGATTCAAGCCAACTGGGCATCCCATAATCCCTATTGCTCTGTTCAAGTTATTTCCCCTATTAGAATAACAAAAACAAGCCCACAGACTGGTTACTGTCTCTTGGTTGCAAGTCTGTGTGAGAAATACTTTGTGCCTGGCTGTGCAGAGAGAGCTTAGGTGTAACCACAACCCATCGGCCCTCATGAGGGTAGAGCTACAAGCACATTGCATATTTCACCTTTATCCGCACACAGTCTGTGACATCACAATATTATTAATGACAGCTGCATGGGAGCTTTACGGTTCTCGATGGACATAATATACATCTTCCCCAGAACACGCCTTGTGTGTGCCCCATGGGCCATGCTGCAGCACAATCTGTCAGTGGATGACAAATCAGTGTACTGGCCTACTGCTGGTACCATGTGATTGTTGTGACCAATCACATCAGATCACGTGACAATTGTACACAATGGATGGCTTCTATTCATGCCATTCATTGTGTACTACTCTGTTGATATCTGTGATTGGTCACAGTGATTACATGGTACAGAGGGGGCCAATCACAACCCATCTGTACCATGTGATTAGCTGTGTGCAACAATTCATTCAGAAAAAAATGAACAGTGAACAGTGATTATCATTGTTATAAGCAATCATAGTATGTAATAAAAAAGAAAAAAAACAGACTGTCATCAGACAGTATCCCTGATCACTGCCACACCAATTATTGTATATGATGACACGGTACTGCACTGATGACAGCATGTAAAAGAAAATTATGAAAAAAAAATTACTACTTTTTTATTACAAAAACTCACCATTAAGGTTAAGGCAGCAGTGGATAGTGGCAAGATTGTAATAGGAAAAGAGTCTTGTTTCTTTTTTGGCTTAAAAGCTGGAGTACTTGCAAGTGGTTGCAGGGTGCTGACCAGATTGTACTGCTGGTTGAAAAGTAACAGTACTATGGAGCATAGAGGAAAAGGTAGAAGAGGAAGGGGTCTGAGAGATTGTCATGGGTAATGGAACTGTAGGGGAAGCCTTCAATGGGTTAAAAGCAGAGGAGATGCCATTAATGAAAGCAGAGTACTGGTATACAGGAGTTAAGGAACATTGTGGTCAGGTGCAATGCTTTGGCCAATCACAATGCACTGTCAGGACGCAGTGCATTGTGGGGCGCATTGGTCGAATAGCCCACCAAACACCCGTACTGTTTGTGTGTTCACGTGTTCACGTTCGACTCAAACATGCAGCCCACCATTACTCATTACTATAACTTGTAAAGACAGAAGTTTGGCTTCTGTGTTTACAAGTGCCAGCATGTCTCCCAATGGCTCCCACAGATTTGATATCAGATCAAGAAGCTCCTGCTTGAAGACATTTCATTCAGAATAATATAATTTTTACACATATATATATATATATATATATATATTTTGTCTCCATATTTTTACTTATTCAGTTGTTTATTTCTACATATGATATATTGTGTATGAGTTAATTCCACCATTGATTAATGTTTTATTCATACAATCATGTTCATTTTTGTGATTAGTCATCACATGTATGTCTGGGGTCTTTGTTACATATAGTTATATAATTTGTTTATCTACTTACCTTTTATGCATTACTTTCCTAAAGGCTGGTGCACACGGGTCAAGTATCGTCTGGTATTGGCTGGTTCAACAGAAACCAACTGATATTCGGTACAGCAGCTTGTCCAATAGAAGCCGGTTTAAAAAGACCGGCATTTGTCAAATAGGCATGCTGGAAAACCAGCATCCGATCACTGCTTGCAACCATTGGCTGTAAGCGCTGATCAGTGTGTTCTGGGAAGGGCAATCCCCCTGTCAGAATACAACAGCTCAGTGGGGAGATTGCAGCACTAAAATCGCTTAGTTTGTATGTTAACCTATTCATTTTTTTTTTGTTTGACCTGCTGGATTGAATGAAAAAAAAAAATTGGGTGTACCTCATATAACTGTCTGGTATTATCGTGATTGTTTTCATAGTCTCAAAATGGTAACGCTCAAATGCCTCCCAAACCTATGTCAGTCAGATCAGCATGTGAGTAGACTGGTGCAAGAAGATCTCTACTATTAAGCCCCAAAAAGGGCAAAACATGTCTGAGGAGTTCTCTACAGGTGGAGAGAACAGGAGCTGAAGCCATCTTTTATCCATCTCATTCATATTTATGCAACAGGGAGTCAGTGCCTGTGTGCAGATGCCCACCATTTTTGTTGATGTTTTCATGAGCTGTTATATACAGTGTTTCATACATATCCACCCACTAAACATGATATGTATATCACACTTTTTTCTTTATAAATTATGTGGTAATGCATATTATGGGTTCACATGATCATCTATTATTATTATTATTATTTATCCACTTTTAAGACAATATTCTGTGTTATTGATAGAGTTTTATTTGGTGTTTTTAATTTGGTTAAGTCTTATCTGCTATTATTTCCCTAGGGAGGCATTTGATGATAGCCCCCTTAGGCTTCCATTTGATCATATTATTGCTATTAGAGTAGATACCACAGCTACTGTGCAGCTGCCACCGAATGGGTGTGAACAGGCCTCTTGTCTGAGAGGTATTAAGTAGACTGTGTGTCATTAGAAAGTTCAGATTGCCAAGAGGGTGGAAAATTTATGTTCTGTTGTGGTGGTGCTGAAACCCCCTGTGTGGGTAACCTTGTGAGTTGTTTTTGAACTTTAAAAAAAAAAAAGTGTGCCAAAGATCCTGAAAATTTACTTTCCTGACTGGACTAGACTTGATTAAAAACACTACATTTGAATTAATTCCCACAATGGGTATTAACTAGGACAGGAATTGAGGGAAGATTTGTGCAAAGTGTCCACATACAGCCAGGAGCGGACTCACAACTCATGGGGGCCCCGTGAATAGGGGATCATGGGGCCCCTGTGTCCTTGCCCACACTCAAAGCACACCCAAAAATGCCTATAAAAGGTACCAGGGGCATTTCATGGGGCCCCCTAATGACCCCGGGCCCTCGGGCAGTGCCCGAGTGCTCGAATGGTCAGTCCGCCCCTGCATACAGCAATATAAAGACTAGACTGATGAATAGTTATAATCTCTGTCAAGTTTGTATTAATCCTCAAGTATTTGAATATAAAGTTATTTGAATATAAAGTCCATGCTCTGTATGGTGTTTAATATGACTATTATAGAGAAGACATGCCTAGGTTAAGTAAGGCACATATGTCACATTTACTCACTGCCTCATTGTTTAACACTAATAATTTTATTCCACTAAATTTACATTTGCTTTAAAAAGCATAATAGTATCCATCAAAAAAAGCTAAATAAAATATGCCAGTTAGTATAATCCAATTTTTCCAATTTTATTTCACATCAGATAATGAACTCGTCTGAAGGAACCAATTCTGGAGTTGGCAGCTCCCCAGTCAGAGTATCTCCTGTATTCTCCAGGTCTCAAGTAGTATTGACGTCCCCTATAGTTGGGCTCCTCATAGAACATCCAATGACCATCAAGGACTTGGCATGAGTTGATATCATGATAACGGAATCTCTCATAGACATGAGGACAATCTTCACTGAATTCCATCATATGACCTTGGAAGTCTCCTCTTTCATAGATTTTCACTTTAAATGGACCACGATGCTACAAAAAGACATAAAAATGTATTAGTATGAGTACCAGTCACCACTGAGGACTGAAACAAGGACTTATAGTAAAGAAATAGTTGTTTAGTAATTAACCTTTTGTTTGTTACTTATCTTTTAGTTTTATATGGATACTAATGAACCTTCAAAGATAGATAGTGCAAACAATTATGGACCCAAAACCAGCATATTCTAAACTATGGAAGTTTCAAATATAAACTATTACATATTAAACATGCAGCATCTTCACTTTTTATTAGTAACAATATCTGCCTATCTATCTATCTATCTATCTATCTATCTATCTATCTATCTATTTATCTACTCATACTTACAAGGGGAGCCAACCGGCAAGATTTAATGGAATCATTGAATCCAAGCCATTTCTGGAAATCAGGGTATTCTCCCTTCCAAAGGTAGTATTGGTAACCTCTATAATTGGGGTGTTCATAGAGGATCCAGTTTCCACTGTCTACACGGATGGAGTTGCAGCGGTTAAAATATGTGGTCATATCGGAACAGTCTGTGCTGCATTCATAGCAGCGTCCCTGAAAATTTCTGTCCTCATAGAAAAAGATCTGCAAAGATATAATACAGCATTATGTTTTGCCAATTTTTTAAAGCTTTGCTTTTGATGGTGATCAAATGGATAAGTTATTGATAACATGTTAAATGTTAATATAAATAATAGTCATTGTGGTCTTTTAGGTAAAACTCAGTAAGGACTGTTGATATGCCTTCTTGTCAAACACAGCCACTTCCAGTCAAACAAGCTGTATAACAGGAAACAAGAAACACAGCACAATTCATAGTAGGTCAAACACAGCATCTGAACTGTTGTGTAGTGTTCTATTAAAGTCAATGGCATTTTACTGACTTGCATTTGATGTGTATTTCATACTCACATATAATGCAGGTAAACAACACAACAGGTCATGAGCCCTAACTCATTTAATAAATAAATATACCTTACAATACAAATCTGTCACCTGTTGGTTTGGTAGATATTATAGTGATTTCCTTTTGTGACTTTTTAAAGAATGTATAATATTGTCCTACAGAAATTAATGTAAAAGCATCCTTACCTTTCCCATTGTCAAGTGTAAAAGTGAAGATGTAATTGATAAAGTTTAAAGGTGGAGATGTAATTGATTACTGCTGTGAGAACAGCATCAACATATATATATATATAGTGCTGCATAATTTAGGAGTAGGACTTTTTTTTGTCCAGTAAGGAGAATGTATAGATCTGTTTATCTGTTTTGTTTGACTGTGTGATTATTTGAATGTTACAATTGTCAGTCTATGCTTACACACGTTCATACCAAAGCCTTAGCTACAGAATACAGTTACAGCACAATTGTTTCAATTCTGAATAAACCTATTCTTTTAGAATATAAATGGGATGTATGCTAGCATAAAGGAACCATAAAGAACAGTACATTAGACATTTCAACATGATCAGCTAAACCAAAACCTGAGCAAGTTTTATAGTTTGGTGGAGCATTTTAAAACAAGCTCACTCCATAGAAAACAGGTAAACCTTGGTTTCAGGAGTTTATTTGGGCCTAATTTCTACTAAGATTGAAGAGAAATGTATGTTTACCCTTTTTTAAAGCACATGTAAACTCAAGGCCAATAATACATAAATAATTTGTTAGTATTTTAAAATAAAAACGTTCTGCATTGATTGTGTATACAGTTATGTTTTTATATGTCCACAGGCCCTGGGTGTAGAAGGGGAGCTTCTTCCTTTCCACTGATCATCAAGCACTGGTGCTGGAGTACAATTATGGCAATTACCAGGGCAGAGGGTACATGATGGTACATGAGGGAGGGACCAGCTTATTCCTTCAAGGTGATAAAGCTATGATGCTGGAGGAAGAGACTTCATATCACAATTGACACAGCATTGTAGCTCAATGGCAGCAGTTCTGGAAAAATACTGATAACACAGTGGGTGATTGAAAGAGTTACAGTGTCATTACCCTGTAACAGAAAGTGAGGTGTGCATACTGACACCGGTAATATCGACACTACCACCTAGCCATATTACCGCTAATGCTATGGACAAATTAGAAAGCAGTTTTCTCATTAAAGCCAAAGTGCTTTCAACTTGCTTTAGCTAGAATTTCATTTCCCAAAACATGTGGCCAGCAACAATAGAAATATGCTCTTTAAAAACACATACAGACAGTTTTTGGTGTAGTGTATGTGGGCAGGGACAGACTGAAAAAATCAATTGCAGCCAGCAACAATCAGAAAATATCACCTGTGAAAAAACACATGCAGCCTGCTAAGACTGTAGTGCATTAGGAAAGGGATGGACTGTGAAAAAATTAATTGCAGCCGGCATAAATTAGAAAATATGTTCTGTGAAAAAACACATGCAGCCTGCTGTGACTGTAGTGTATTAGGGAAGGGATGGACTGTGAAAAAATTAATTGCAGCCAGCATAAATTAGAAAATATGTTCTGTGAAAAAACACATGCACCCTGCTGTGACTGTAGTGCATTAGCAAAAGCATGGACTGTGACAAAATGAATTGCAGCCAGCATAAATTAGGAAATATGCCCTGTGAAAAAACACATGCAGCCTGCTATGACTGTAGGGCGTTAGGAAAGGGATGGACTGTGAAAAACATTCTAGAGCATGTTACACCCTAAATATGAGTGTAATATGTAGCATGCTTCCAAAGGTGAACATATCCTTTAATACATACTTCAAGCAATTTTTTGCAATATATGTTAACACTTTAGTGCCATACATGTGGTGACCTTCAGTATGTTTATTGCATGCTATTGTTATAGAGTACACCTTTGCAATATGTGCACTTTTGTGATCTCTATTTATTGTATGCAACTATGACTTGGGTCACTCCAGTGCAGGACTCAGTTTGAGTTACTTTTTAGCTGGGTCTTTCAGATTATATTGGCACCAATGGACATAGTTGTAGTTTTTGATCATGTTAATGAGTTCATTGTATATACAGTCATGGCCGAAATTGTTGGCACCTTGATATTTCTCCAGGAAATCATGTATTTCTCACGAAACGTATTGCATTAACACATGTTTTGCTATACACATGTTTATTCCCTTTGTGTGTATTGGGACAAAACAAAAAAAGGGAGGAAAGAAAGCAAATTCGACATAATGTCACACAAACCTCCAAAAATGGGCTGGACAAAAGTATTGGCACCCTTTCACAACTGCGGATAAATAAGAATGTTACAAGCATGTGATGCTCCTGTAAACTCACCTGGGGCAAGTAACAGGTGTGGGCAATATAGAAATCACACCTGAAAGCAGATAAAAGGAGAGACGTTCACTTAACCTTTGCATTGTGTGTCTGTCTGTGCCACACTAAGCATGGACAACAGAAAGAGGAGACGAGAACTGTCTGAGGACCTGAGAACCAAAATTGTGGCAAAATATCAACAATCTCAAGGTTACAAGTCCATCTCCAGAGAACTAGATTTGCCTTTGTCCACAGTGCGCAACATTATCAAGAAGTTTGCAACCCATGGCACTGTAGCTAATTCCCTGGTCGTGGACGGATGAGGAAAATTGATGAAAGATTGCAACGCAGAATAGTCCGGATGGTGGATAAGCAGCCCAAAACATGTTCCAAAGACATTCAAGCTGTCCTGCAGGCTCAGGGAGCATCAGTGTCAGCGCGAACTATCCGTCGACATTTAAATGAAATGAAACGCTATGGCAGGAGACCCAGGAGGACCCCACTGCTGACACAGAGACATAAAAAAGCAAGACTACAGTTTGCCAAAATGTACTTGAGTAAGCCAAAAGCCTTCTGGGAAAACGTCTTGTGGACAGATGAGACCAAGATAGAGCTTTTCGGTAAAGCACATCATTCTACTGTTTACCGAAAACGGAATGAGGCCTACAAAGAACAAAACACAGTACCTACGGTAAAATATGGTGGAGGTTCAATGATGTTTTGGGGTTGTTTTGCTGCCTCTGGCACTGGGTGCCTTGACTGTGTGCAAGGCATCATGAAATCTGAGGATTACCAAAGGATTTTGGGTCGCACTGTAGGGCCCAGTGTCAGAAAGCTGGGTTTGCGTCCAAGATCCTGGGTCTTCCAGCAGGACAATGACCCCAAACATACGTCAAAAAGCACTCAGAAATGGATGGCAAAGAAGCGCTGGAGAGTTCTGAAGTGGCCAGCAATGAGCCCAGATCTAAATCCCATTGAACACCTGTGGAGAGATCTTAAAATTGCTGTTGGGAAAAGGTGTCCTTCCAATAAGAGAGACCTGGAGCTGTTTGCAAAGGAAGAGTGGTCCAAAATTCCGGGTGAGAGGTGTCAGAAGCTTATTGATGGTTATAGGAAGCGACTGATTTCAGTTATGTTTTCCAAAGGGTGTGCAACCAAATATTAAGTTAAGGGTGCCAATACTTTTGTCCAGCCCATTTTTGGGGTTTTGTGTGACATTATGTCATATTTGCTTTTCTGCCTCTGTTTTATATTTGTTCCAATACATACAAAGGGAATAAACATGTGTATA